AAAAAACCGCATCTAAAATAGTATAAATAGAAGCAGAGTTCTTTACGGTAAGCCTTAATCCTAACCATCTCCCTTCAGTGGGGGGAATTTTGACATGTATATTATATAAAAACACATGCGTATTGGAATGCAGTGTTGTGTCGAAATTTCAAAGGAATCGGTAGGAACAAACGAACATTACATTTTTATTTATATAGATAGATAGATGATGATCTGCTTTAGTTCATTTTCACAGAAAAGCAAACTTAGGTCGTCTTACTCGTAGCGCCATCTGTTGGACATAAAAGCCTTAACCTAGATTATATATTTTAATTTATATGAATGTTTAACGGAATAATATACAGTCTATGTCCACCCTGAGGTTCCATTCTAAATATTGGTGAAAGAATTTTTGAAATCGGATGAGTAATTTTGGAGATTACCTGCTGCAAGCAAACTTAAAAACATTACCTCTTTATAATATTAGTATAGATTGGCTACCTCTCTAAAATATATACAATAAATCCATGATTTTAAATTAATTGATAAATTACTTTTTTAATGGTTTTTCATTAATGAACATCTCCAATAAAGTTCTATAAGTAACATATAATAATATGTTACTTATAGAACATATTATTATATGTTCTATAAGTATACATATTATAAATAATATGTATTGATAGTTCATACTGTCAATGAGGAATTTACTTTAATTTTTATGATTTCAAAATAAAATTTTAATAATGTCACTTTGGATAAGATAAAAATATGTTGTTAAATATTCCAATAATTCTTTAGCTAAGATATTTCTGTTCACTTATCTAAGAGAAATGTTTTAGATTTTTAATGTGCTTATATAATAATACTCATTTTCAGAGCCATTTTAAGCACAATTTTTTTACAGACATAATAAATATTTTTGTTTATATGTATAATTTTGTAATGAGCAATGAGAAGAAGCCACAAACTATGGCCAGTTATGCTGATGTGTTAGTGCACACTACTTATTTATCTGTAATAAATTTGTGAATAATCAAAATAACATTTTTAGTTTGGAAATGATTTGTTTTTCTGTAGTAAAGACTTCAATTATAATTTATTATTAAATACTACAAATATAAATAAACTTACTTTATTTTGATCCATAGTGTTAGTTGCCAATGCACCAGCTTCTTCTCTTATAATATAGCTTTGTATGATTCTGGAAATGAATGTACAGTACAGTAATTTATAAAACAGTTTTCAGTTATATTATTAAATAAACAAAACAATGATAAGTCTTCTAATAACTTGATAGCTATTGCAAAAATTTATAAGTGATTTCTGAAAATAATTAGATTTCTCTATCAAACTCTTTATATGAATTCATTTAAAGTTTCTCTAGAAATTTTTCATAATTGTCATGCTAGAAAAATTGATTTCATGGAATTACAAATATTTTAAACTGTTAGAAAGTTGTGTATGTGACCTTTGTCTTTGTGATCGTCGCGCCCTCCCCTCTGCTGTGTGTGGGGTCTGTTGAGTTATGTTCGTCAAGGGAGTTGTACTCTGGTTGAGTATAGTTTAGTTTGGAATGTGTGCTGTGGTCTAACGGACATCGCTTCCTAGTTCTCTCCACTTTCTTTGTGTTACCTTCGACATTACCCTTCATCATATCCAAACCCTGACATGGTAGCAGAGCGTGGTTGGTTTAAGGGTTTAATGATCGAGGTTTACCATACGAAAAACATCTAATTGGAGATTCAAGTAAGTGATATATACTTGTTTGCTTACGAAAGGCATAACCCGTCTGAACAAAGAGCAACGCCATGAATAGTGTGGGGACACAGCATGTTGATAAACTCGATGATGGCAACTACGAATCGTGGAAGCTACAAATGCGTAGCATACTTGTTTGCAATGAACTTTGGTCGTACGTAAATGGATCCATAGAAAAACCAGATACCGATCCTGGCCGAATAGATTGGCAAACAAAAGATGAAAAGGCTTTAGCATTAATCTTACTAGGCGTTAAGCAGAACCAGTTGAGCCATATAAAGAGGGCAGAAACTTCCAAAGAAGCATGGGATGAATTGGAAAGGATACATAAATCGAAAGGTCCAATTAAAAAGGCAGTGCTATACAAACAACTTTATCAGATGAAAAAGGGAACTGAACAATCAATGTCGAGACATGTAAGTGAATTTATGGAAAAGGCTGAACAATTAGAAGAAGCGGGTATCCCAATTCCAAGTGAGTTACTATCTATAATGTTACTAAATTCATTGCCCGATGAATACGAGACATTTCGAATTGCCATCGAGTCCAGAGACGACATACCGAAACCTGAATTATTAAAAATAAAATTAATTGAAGAAGAAGTAAGACGACAAGAGAAGCAAGAATCTTTAGTCGAACAAAGTGCTCTGTACATAGGATCGAAACAAAAGAAAAGTTCCTTCCGACAAAACTACCCAAAAGGAAATAGTCGTTCTTCTTCACAATTCACAGGAACATGTTACATATGCGCTAAACCGGGCCACCGTGCAGCTGAGTGTAGAAGTAATAACAGATATTCGCAAAGGAACAATACACGCAAAAAGAATGACGCTATGGCGGTCACAGTACAAACGGCTCAACCTCTAAACTCAACAGACTGGTGTCTTGATAGCGGAGCAACCGCACATATGTGTAGCGACTGTACGAAATTTACAGAGATAAATCAAGATCACAAAGAAATACAAACTGCAGGAAAAGATGCATTAAGATCCGTTGGAACTGGAACAATTAATATAAGCGTGCGTGTCAACAACACCAATAATACAATCAAGCTACAAGACGTGATAGCCGTTCCAGATTTGAGAAACAACTTGATATCTGTACCTAAAATTACAGAACATGGATATTCTGTCACATTCAAAAGAGAATCTGCAACTGTTACTCGCCAAGATGGTTCCATCGCCTTGATAGCAAAGAAAAGAGATCAGCTATACGTAGTAGAAACTAGATCTGACGCAGTATTGAATGTAGAAGAAAGTGACAATCTTTTGAGATGGCATCAACGACTTGGTCATCTAAACATCAACGATCTAAAGAAACTAGCAAGCAAAAAAATGGTAGATGGAATAACATTGAAACAAACCCAAGACAAAATTGACTGTGAAACATGCTGCAAAGGTAAGATTCATCAATTACCCTTTAAGTCATCCAACACGAGAGAGAAAAGTATACTGGGATTAGTCCATTCTGACATATGTGGTCCAATGAGTGTGGAATCCCTAGGCGGTTCTAAGTATTTTGTGACATTCATTGACGACAAAACACGCTATGTCGAAGTAGCAATGCTCAGACACCGATCTGAAGTACTCGAAGCATTTAAACGATACAAGGAAAGAGTCGAAAACGAAACTGGTCAAAGAATCAAAAGGCTTCGTACTGACAACGCAAAAGAATACTTGTCAAAAGAATTTACCAATTATCTTGGAGAAAAAGGAATAAGGAGACAGTTGACAGTCGAGCATACTCCCCAACAAAACGGAATAGCCGAACGAGCAAACAGAACTCTCGTTGAGATGGCGAGATGCATGATGATTCAATCCAATGTACCTCAGAGTCTATGGGCAGAGGCTATCAACACAGCAGCCTACATAAGAAATCGTTGTCCCAGCAAAGCCTTAGAAAAAGAAACTCCACTCGAACTATGGACTGGAAATAAACCTTACGTTGGATTTGTAAGAATTTTCGGTAGTAAAGCAATTGCTCTGCAAAAGGGACAGAAGAGAAATAAATTTGAGCCAAAGGGAAAGGAATACATTCTAGTTGGCTACTCACAAGAGTCAAAGGCGTACCGACTATGGGAGAAAGGCACTAAAACTGTCATAAAGGCTCGAGATGTGCGCTTCTTCGAAAAACTAGAAACCGAAAACGAACAGGACTTATTTAGTGCGCCTTTAAATTTAATACCAACCATAAAAAACATCGAAGTTGATGAGAGTAATGTCCCTTCCGCTGACATGCAAAACGAAGATATCCCCTCACATAATGATGGAACATTAGATCCGCAACCAAAACGCAAAGCGGGACGCCCACGATTAATTAAAAGTGGAAAACCTGGAAGACCAAAGAAGGTGTATAATGAAACAGCAGATATCGCAAAATGTGACGAATTGCCAGATCCTACAAGTGTAACAGAAGCATTAAGCCGAGAAGATAGAGAGGAATGGTTAAATGCCATGGATTCGGAATATAAGTCTTTAATGGAAAATAATACATGGGAATTAGTCCCACGCCCAAAGGACAGAAAAATAATTTCAAATAAATGGGTGTATAAAATAAAAAGAAAACAGGATGGCACCGTCGATCGCTATAAAGCCAGGTTAGTTGCATGTGGATACCAACAGAGAGAAGGAATTGACTTTGAAGAAGTGTTCGCTCCAGTAGCAAGATATGAAACGATCCGAGCATTCCTCGCTGGGTGTGTGGAAAACGAAATGCATGTGCACCAAATGGACGTAATTACGGCTTTCATACAAGGTGACTTAACGGAAGAAATATATATGGAGCAACCAGAGCATTTCAAAACAAAAGGAGGAGAAGATAAGGTGTGCCGATTAACTAAACCCCTATACGGATTAAAACAAGCAGGACGCGAATGGTACAAGCGACTAGACAGCTACCTCCTAAGTATAGGCATGAAGAGAACGAGTTCGGATCCTTGCGCTTACACCCAAAATGAAGGCAGGGACAATGTTATCATCATAGTTTATGTTGATGACATGCTAATTGCCTCACGCAACTTAGAGATGATAACAAAAATCAAACACATCCTTCAGAAAGAATTCAAAATGAAGGATTTGGGTGTAGCAAGTGAAGTTCTGGGAATACGAATAGAAAGAGAGGGGACTACCGGAAAGATGAAACTGACTCAAGAAAAGTACGCTAAAGATCTTCTAAAAAAATTTAATATGCAAGCATGTAGACCAGTTTCAACACCGATCGAATCAAATCAAAAACTAACAAAAGAGATGGCTCCGCAGTCAGAAAGCGAAACGAATGAAATGAAAGGAAAACCATACAGAGAACTTATCGGCGGACTCCTTTATCTGGCGAACTCGACACGCCCAGATCTGGCATTTGCAGCTAGCATGTTAAGCCGTTTCTGTTCTAATCCAGGTATCGTTCATTGGAAAATGGCCAAGAGAGTACTCCGATACATTCAAGCAACTGTAAATTACGGTCTACACTACGAGAAGTGCGATCAGAAGCTGTGCGCACATGTGGACTCAGATTGGGCAGGAGATACTGACGACCGGAAGTCTTCATCAGGCAACATAATAATTCTAGCGAACGGACCTATCAGCTGGGAATCAAAAAAACAAAGATCTGTTGCGCTTTCGACGATGGAGGCGGAGTACATGGCCCTATCCGACGTGACCAAGGAAGTCATCCATATGAGAAGGATGCTAAGAGAAATGCAATTTGAAAGTTACGTGAATACGCCGACGATAGTTTACTGTGACAGTCAGAGCGCTATTCAGCTAAGCAAAAACACGGTTCATCATGGGAGAAGTAAACACATTGACATCAGGTATCACTTCTCCCGTGAAGCTCAAGAAAAGGGGGAAATTAAAACAGAATACATCCCCACCACAGAGATGAAAGCGGATGTGCTAACGAAGGCCCTTCCGAGAAGCAAACATGAAGCAAACGTCAAGCTGCTTGGACTAAACAAAGCCTAGGTAGAACCACCGGTAACTATTTACAATACTGAAGACAGATAACACGATGTATGTGTATGTGTATATATCAATATATATCATAATGGATACGACAGTGCTTCCAAAAAAAAAAAAAAAATATCAAATGATAAGTTTCAGTGTATATGCAGACTCTGGGCACACCGATAGAGAGGGTGTTAGAAAGTTGTGTATGTGACCTTTGTCTTTGGTGATCGTCGCGCCCTCCCCTCTGCTATGTGTGGGGTCTGTTGAGTTATGTTCGTCAAGGGAGTTGTACTCTGGTTGAGTATAGTTTAGTTTGGAATGTGTGCTGTGGTCTAATGGACATCGCTTCCTAGTTCTCTCCACTTTCTTTGTGTTACCTTCGACATTACCCTTCATCATATCCAAACCCTGACATAAACTTAATTTCTAATATGGCAAATTTTATGAATGAAATATTTTTGAAAGGATCTTGGGCATCAACGACTTGGTCATCTAAACATCAACGATCTAAAGAAACTAGCAAGCAAAAAAATGGTAGATGGAATAACATTGAAACAAATCCAAGACAAAATTGACTGTGAAACATGCTGCAAAGGTAAGATTCATCAATTACCCTTTAAGTCATCCAACACGAGAGAGAAAAGTATACTGGGATTAGTCCATTCTGACATATGTGGTCCAATGAATGTGGAATCCCTAGGCGGCTCTAAGTATTTTGTGACGTTCATTGACAACAAAACACGCTACGTCGAAGTAGCAATGCTCAGACACCGATCTGAAGTACTCAATGCATTTAAACAATACAAGGAAAGAGTCAAAAACGAAACTGGTCAAAGAATCAAAAGGCTTCGTACTGACAACGCAAAAGAATACTTGTCAAAAGAATTTACCAATTATCTTGGAGAAAAAGGAATAAGGAGACAGTTGACAATCGAGCATACTCCCCAACAAAAAGGAATAGCCGAACGAGCAAACAGAATTCTCGTTGAGATGGCGAGATGCATGATGATTCAATCCAATGTACCTCAGAGTCTATGGGCAGAGGCTATCAACACAGCAGCCTACATAAGAAATCGTTGTCCCAGCAAAGCCTTAGAAAAAGAAACTCCACTCGAACTATGGACTGGAAATAAACCTTACGTTGGATTTGTAAGAATTTTCGGTAGTAAAGCAATTGCTCTGCAAAAGGGACAGAAGAGAAATAAATTTGAGCCAAAGGGAAAGGAATACATTCTAGTTGGCTACTCACAAGAGTCAAAGGCGTACCGACTATGGGAGAAAGGCACTAAAACTGTCATAAAGGCTCGAGATGTGCGCTTCTTCGAAAAACTAGAAACCGAAAACGAACAGGACTTATTTAGTGCGCCTTTAAATTTAATACCAACCATAAAAAACATCGAAGTTGATGAGAGTAATGTCCCTTCCGCTGACATGCAAAACGAAGATATCCCCTCACATAATGATGGAACATTAGATCCGCAACCAAAACGCAAAGCGGGACGCCCACGATTAATTAAAAGTGGAAAACCTGGAAGACCAAAGAAGGTGTATAATGAAACAGCAGATATCGCAAAATGTGACGAATTGCCAGATCCTACAAGTGTAACAGAAGCATTAAGCCGAGAAGATAGAGAGGAATGGTTAAATGCCATGGATTCGGAATATAAGTCTTTAATGGAAAATAATACATGGGAATTAGTCCCACGCCCAAAGGACAGAAAAATAATTTCAAATAAATGGGTGTATAAAATAAAAAGAAAACAGGATGGCACCGTCGATCGCTATAAAGCCAGGTTAGTTGCATGTGGATACCAACAGAGAGAAGGAATTGACTTTGAAGAAGTGTTCGCTCCAGTAGCAAGATATGAAACGATCCGAGCATTCCTCGCTGGGTGTGTGGAGAACGAAATGCATGTGCACCAAATGGACGTAATTACGGCTTTCATACAAGGTGACTTAACGGAAGAAATATATATGGAGCAACCAGAGCATTTCAAAACAAAAGGAGGAGAAGATAAGGTGTGCCGATTAACTAAACCCCTATACGGATTAAAACAAGCAGGACGCGAATGGTACAAGCGACTAGACAGCTACCTCCTAAGTATAGGCATGAAGAGAACGAGTTCGGATCCTTGCGCTTACACCCAAAATGAAGGCAGGGACAATGTTATCATCATAGTTTATGTTGATGACATGCTAATTGCCTCACGCAACTTAGAGATGATAACAAAAATCAAACACATCCTTCAGAAAGAATTCAAAATGAAGGATTTGGGTGTAGCAAGTGAAGTTCTGGGAATACGAATAGAAAGAGAGGGGACTACCGGAAAGATGAAACTGACTCAAGAAAAGTACGCTAAAGATCTTCTAAAAAAATTTAATATGCAAGCATGTAGACCAGTTTCAACACCGATCGAATCAAATCAAAAACTAACAAAAGAGATGGCTCCGCAGTCAGAAAGCGAAACGAATGAAATGAAAGGAAAACCATACAGAGAACTTATCGGCGGACTCCTTTATCTGGCGAACTCGACACGCCCAGATCTGGCATTTGCAGCTAGCATGTTAAGCCGTTTCTGCTCTAATCCAGGTATCGTTCATTGGAAAATGGCCAAGAGAGTACTCCGATACATTCAAGCAACTGTAAATTACGGTCTACACTACGAGAAGTGCGATCAGAAGCTGTGCGCACATGTGGACTCAGATTGGGCAGGAGATACTGACGACCGGAAGTCTTCATCAGGCAACATAATAATTCTAGCGAACGGACCTATCAGCTGGGAATCAAAAAAACAAAGATCTGTTGCGCTTTCGACGATGGAGGCGGAGTACATGGCCCTATCCGACGTGACCAAGGAAGTCATCCATATGAGAAGGATGCTAAGAGAAATGCAATTTGAAAGTTACGTGAATACGCCGACGATAGTTTACTGTGACAGTCAGAGCGCTATTCAGCTAAGCAAAAACACGGTTCATCATGGGAGAAGTAAACACATTGACATCAGGTATCACTTCTCCCGTGAAGCTCAAGAAAAGGGGGAAATTAAAACAGAATACATCCCCACCACAGAGATGAAAGCGGATGTGCTAACGAAGGCCCTTCCGAGAAGCAAACATGAAGCAAACGTCAAGCTGCTTGGACTAAACAAAGCCTAGGTAGAACCACCGGTAACTATTTACAATACTGAAGACAGATAACACGATGTATGTGTGTGTGTATATATCAATATATATCATAATGGATACGACAGTGCTTCAAAAAAAAAAAAATTATCAAATGATAAGTTTCAGTGTATACGCAGACTCCGGGCACACCGATAGAGAGGGTGTTAGAAAGTTGTGTATGTGACCTTTGTCTTTGTGATCGTCGCGCCCTCCCCTCTGCTATGTGTGGGGTCTGTTGAGTTATGTTCGTCAAGGGAGTTGTACTCTGGTTGAGTATAGTTTAGTTTGGAATGTGTGCTGTGGTCTAATGGACATCGCTTCCTAGTTCTCTCCACTTTCTTTGTGTTACCTTCGACATTACCCTTCATCATATCCAAACCCTGACATAAACTTAATTTCTAATATGGCAAATTTTATGAATGAAATATTTTTGAAAGGATCTTGAATATTGAAATTTCAATTTTCAAATGTTTAGTAGTACATTGAAAGTAAGTATCACTGATAACACAACCTGTAACTACACACTTTGGTAAGAATTCTATTTAAAAATTTTTAAAATAATTTCTTGTTATAAATTGTTATCATATGAATAATATAGCAACACATATCAATGTATCAGTGACATATACAGTTTATAAAAGATTCTTTTATTAAAAGACTACATACAATATTCTTATTTAAGAGTAAGCAATATAACAATGAGATAACTCTAAGTTATCTCATTGTTATGTTATAGTCACAACTTATGCAATTTATGCAAATGTATTTATTGCTGTTATGCTTAATAAAATCAATATATTACAACTAATTGATATACATTTTTTATCTATTAATTATTTAAAAAGTTATACTAATTTCCTACCTTGTTTTCTTTTTTATTTCATCGATTAAATGATTAATATGTTCTTCTTGAAATTCAATTTTTTCATTTTTTCTTGCTAAACTTCTTTGTAATTTTACAATTCTTTCAATTAACATTTGCTTATTTACTTCTGAAAGAGGCGAATTATTTGATAAGGAGGCATTTTGACTGTTCACCTGTAAAAAACAAGTTTTAGTCTTCACAGTATTTTTAAGATGAATTTTATAAATAAATTAATTTCATACTTTAGTTTCAGATGTTTTAGTTTGTGAAGAATGTGAACTTGGAATTTTTCCTCCACTAAATGTAACAGCTGGAGCAGCATGTGAAGTAGGATTTTGATCATTTGATATTTTGGCAACATTGTTATTCGTTAAAATATCAAGTGATCCTGTGGAACTTGTTCTTGATCCCAAACTTACTGAATCCCCAGTTGTGTGATTAATTTCATAATTTTCCAACCTCCTTTTTGCTTGTAATAATTCCCTAGACAGTTCCTGTAATAAAACCTCAATTTAAAAATGGAAAAAATATCAGCAAGTATCTTTTCAATTATTTTTTTTTACCTTAATGCTAGTTATATGCCTTCTTTTAGTAACTTTATTTTCATTTACAGCATCTTCCAATTTAACTGTAAGATCCTCCACTAAAAAATTTTTTAATGATTAGTTTTATTTATAGGAAAAACTTTTTATGGATATAAAATATTGAAATTCTTAACCTGTTTTAGTTTTTTCTGCTAGTTTTCGTGCTAATAGCTGAGTTTCTTCTTTTCTTTGTTTTCTTTCATCTTCTAATTGATCTATCTATTAAAGTTACATAAAATTCTAAACTCTAACAGTCAAAAATATACACACTTATATTTAAATCTCATTATAAAATTTAAATTTTATTAGTCTAAGTTATACTTACTTCAATTTCATTGAACTGATTATTACAAAGAATTAAATAAATAATTTAATAATTTAACATTAGCATTAAATGCATAATTTCATCTAACAAACAACCATACAGACATTAAATTAAATTTTCGGAAAAAAAATCTAATAAACTGAACTTTAAAATATATCTTGAAATTTTTTCTGTAAAGTTTCTAACCAAAGGTACTTAAAGTTAATATGAAATGATGGATATGATACAAGATGAAATAAATATTTATTGAAAAAATTTTAAATATAGATGAAATTACTAATAATAAAAAATTTTCCATAATCTATTTGTTCCAATGGAAATTTTCTTATACTTGAATTTCTTGTAAAAATAATGAAAAATATAAATCACATTCTTGAATGTGTTATATGTTTCAACTGTACACATTGTTCTAAGTTGTAGATTACTATGCTAAAAAATATATTATTAAAGCAATTCAAGTAATAATACAACTTCAACACAAAATAAACGTCTTCTAATTACTAACACTGTCTTGAGTAATAAATAGCCACACACAAAACCTTTTATTATCAGTGTTGTATTCAACACCAAACCTACTATCATTTTTGGCCTCCACCAAGGCCTTCTTCAGGTGCTAAACTAAGTGGCATCCCCTTGGACCATTAGAACGATGCTGCCGGAGCAATAAACAATAAACTTCAAATCTATTTTATCACTCGAATCATAACTCTTAAGTTAAATTACTCATATTTACATTTAAAAAATATTTTAAAATAACTTTTTCAAATGATTCTATATTTTCTATTCCTGAAAATTACAGAATATTTTTAAAAATAAAAAAAAAACAAAAACTATAAAAAATTTCTTGTTTCGATATTTACATTATACAAAATAAGAACATGAACAGAATTAGTTCTTTAAAATATTAAAAAGAGTTTGAAAAATTTTAATTGTTTAAAATGAAGAAAAACAATTAAATGTAAAGTATAAACGTGATAATGTTTCTATGTAACCAATTATATTTAAGTGAAAATATCATAATTATTGCTGAAATTTAAAAATTATGTGTAAATTATTAAAGAAACAATTACTGATTATTCAATGACTGAACTAAGTGAATGATACTTAATAAAGTCATTAAATAAAGATATGTAACTTTAAATAAAGATATTTTGAAAATTAATTTTATATTGTTATTAAAAATTTACTCACCAATTCTATATTCTGATTTTCTAATTCTGTACATTTTTTATTTATTCGATTCATTTCATCTTCTAATGTTTGTGCCTAAAAATTTCAGTTATAAAAATATTAATGAATTCAGATACTAGAAATTATTTTAAATAAAATTTTGTTTTATTTACATTTAATTTATATTAACCTAACATATCATAAATAGATTCAACTTGAAGAACTGCAAATGCCATTATATAAAAGTTGACCTCAAGATTTTCAGTTCAAAATTCTAGTTTAAAACTATGCCCACCATATAAGTTAACCCCCAAGTATATAGTATAGTGGTAGTCTAAAGTTGAAATATATATAGTGTATGATATTCTTTGACAAAAAACAGTAAAGGTTTACATTTAATATTCATCATACGTATTGAACTCCAGTTTTGGAAAGCTTTTTTCATTCTTAAAAAACAACTTATACACTAATATATACAGTATCTTATTTTAAAAATTTTACACACAAGTGTATCTAAAATATAACTTGTATTACATATCTATATTATTAAAAATTATGACTTTAGTGCATTACAGAAAAGTGGAGAACAGATCTGTGAAAGCAAATTGTGCTTCTTCCAGGAAATCAAGATTTGAGCTATCTAATTAGTGATATAGAAGAATAACTAATTTCTGTATTGTCACTTGGTTTGCTCAAATCTACATCATATTGCATTAAATTATATATAGCATCATTTACATTCTTCAAAATCTTAAAACATTTGAAAATTTTATTTAAAACTTCATTTTTTAATGAATTATTAAATAAATGTTCTTTATAAAACCTCTTAATAACATAAAATGACATCTTTAATATTTCAATGTAATTGAAACTTTCTTTATGTTTTTTTTCTATGTTGTAGACACATGTTAAAATTTGCCATTTATAAAATGCTAACCTGGTTTATGCAGATGTTGAAATGAGAGTATATATCTGCATCTGTCTAACAAAACTAGGCATTTCTTGTAATGTCTAATGGCTTAAAAATTTAAATATAAATATTTGTGCACTTCTATATAGTGTAACAAGCAAATTCATGGATATGTCCTCTCAATGGCAATTTATACTGTATATATTTTAAGTTTTAGTTTTTTCATTTTTGGCTCTTTCTGTCCTTTGGGCACTAAGAGGGTCTTTTTTTTCTTTACTCATCATGGGTTTGGCCAGACACACAAAGGGCAGCTAGATGGTGAGTGATGGGACTTTGTGTATCTGAGACTTACAATATGTAGAATTCAAATTCCTGGGGTTGCTCATATGGATTCAATCCTGAATCCCCAAGCAGCAAGCTGGGAATTCAGGATTATCCCATGTTGAAATTAACCTTAATTGAAATTAACCTTAAATTAATCCCATCTCATCAAATTAATCTCATTAACCTTGACAAAAATTCAACATGGCGGCCACACGCAATGAAGAAAAATTTCAACATGGTGGTCACACACAACGGAGAAAAATTTCAACGTGGAATAGGTTAATCCCATGTTGAAATTTTTCTTTGTTGTGTGTGGCCGCCATGTTGAATTTTTGTCAATGCCTAACAAAATTTTTTTTAAATAATACTTGTGGCTACTGTATCACTAAAAATTTTTTTTTTATTTTGCACAAACAAAATAAATATATTAAAAAATATAAAAACAAAATAAATTATATTTCAAAAGTTCGTTTTAATATAAAAATTATGACGCATAGCAACATCTAGTATCAAAAATGTTCCGATGCAGAAACGAGTATATTTGGGGTCAACTGGTCAGGTCAAATGATTTCAACACAAAAATACTCAGGAACAACATGGGACAAGTTAATCACCTCAGCCATCTAGCTGTCTCATTTTTGTGACACAAATTGGGCAGTGACAGACAACCTTGCCTAAATCATAATATCATAAAGTACTCAGCAAATCACTATACATATAACTAACACCTTATTCTTGCCGAGAAATATAATTTATTTGAAACAAACGTTTTCAGCCTGATTCACAGGCCATCCTCAGGTTTAGAACACATTTGAATTAAAAGATTCCATCAATGGAATACAAAATAAAAATTAAATAAGATAAAATTAAAATAAATTAAAGTATTAAATAACCAACAGAGTAACATAAAACAAAAATAAAAAACAAAAAAATATATAAAAATGTAAAAAAATGTACATAGAAGTATTAATAAATGCAATTACTAACACATGCAATAAAACTACTATTTTGATTGGTTAGAGCTCTTATTAAACTTCTTAACTATAAACTTCCGTGCAGAGGGAAGACTTTCTGCATCTCTCGCATTTAAACAGCCTTCTTGTATTTTACTCCTATAAATCTGAAACTTTCCGCTGTCAACGCCAAAGATGGAGAAGATAAAAGTTTTATGATGGTCACCTCATTCCATTTGACTACAGCTCCTGGTGCTTGCGCCATTCGGGATAAAATTGTTGCATTAGACCCCTTTCTGATATTATAACTATACTCCTTGATTCTAAGAACTAAACTCCTGGTGGTTACTCCAATATAGTCTTTTTTAATGCCCAATTGCATGTTCTCATATGGAATTCTATAAACCCCTGCTTTCTCTTCTGACATTATATCATCCTTATAATTCCTGAGGATTTTGTATAAATTAGGAGCCCTTTTTATAATCATCCTCAAACCTTTTCTGTGAGCAATCTCTTTCATGACTCTATTCATACTTTCATTATATGTAAATTTTACGATTCTATTGGGAGCATTTTTAAAAGACCCTTTCTTGATGTTTGCTTCATACTTCCTAACCATTCCCAGAATTTCACTTTTTTGGTAACCTAGGGTCTTGGCTATGCTTATTATTCTATTTATTTCTTTCCTCCTGTCTTGTACTCTTTCACAATACAAAAATGCCCTTCTTTTTAAAGCTCTGAAAGCTGCAAACTTGCCTAAATCTTCGACTAAGATTCTGTCAATTGTCTTCGTACTGGCACTGAAGTCATATGCTAATATTCTTGCAGTTGCACAACAATCCTCTTGAATCCATTCTCTCATCATGGCAATAAGTTCCTTGTTTTGAACTGAAGTTGTATGTTCAGTCATCATTCTTGAGAGTTTCCTGACCACATTTGAAACAATCAAACCACATTACTATTTGTGCATGAGATAAACACATATTGTGACATATTTGCCACAGCAATGTCAATATCTCAGATGCACTTTTAAAGTTTAAAACAGAATTTGATATTCACTTTGTTCCATGGTGCTTTCATGATAACACACTTACATCATCCTAACAAAAGAGCAACAGATTTCTTGCTACACTTAGCATGGGATGTGGTATTGCCAGACTGCAGATTATGGAACACACTACAGAATGCATTTCTTGCTACTTGGCATTTGTGTATTAGTCAATACATCTATCTCATTATGTAATTTTCAGACATGTATGCATATTTCCTTTACATTCAAATTTCATATATTGTTTTATTTAAAAAACAAACTACAGAATTAAAAATAGTAGTTTTAAAAGACTATTTGATACACTTTTTAAAATATCTAATAGTGAGTGGTGAACAGTACTGAAATTCTTATCTTTAGATAATATGAATAAATTCATTTTAAAGAATACAAATATTATTTCATTCATATTTGCAATTAGATTTAGAATTAATTTAATATATGAAAATTATAAATTATACATTATAAATATCTAAATGAGATTTCATTAAATAAATAATAATAAAAAATAAAAAAAAAAGTACATACTTTAGTCTCCAATAAACTATATTCTGATTGCAAAGCAACACTTTTAGCAGTTAATCTTTCAGTGAACTCCAACAATTCACCTTCCTTATTACGACAAGCTTCCATATCACACTGAAGTTCGGCATTTACTTGGCAGAATCTCTCAACTTCTTTTTGACTATTTAATACTCTTTCTTTTTCTCTGTAAAAATAAAACATTTAAAAACAAAACTTACATTTTACTGTTAATTATTATTCAGAGCTACAATAATGGATTTTATTCTTGACCATAAATTTAATATTTTAAATAATTAAATGCAAAAATAGATCAAGATTAGTTTATATCATCTTCATATTAGTTATTTATATTGGTTATTTTAAAAAATATCTTAATTTTAAACATTTCATATTCTTTATTCATTAAAACTCCCTTTATAAAGATGTTTCCTATACTTTTCATAAAAAGTATACTAAAATTTATATATTTTATCAGTATGAATTATATTTCAGTAAAACTAAAATTTTTTATATAGTTTTTTTTGATAGCACACAATTATATTTCAAACAAGACTACATTAGTATGTAAAATTTTTATATAGTGTGTTATGTCAGGGTCAATTTTTTTAGGTTTAATGTAAATGGTTTGTAGGTTTGTAAAACTTAAACTGTACTAATATTTACTTAAATGTACAATATATAAGATATTAGTTTCAAAATAATGATGTTAAAGAAAACTTTCTTTTGGCAATGTTCAATTTTGTATACCTGACACGGGTTCCTGAATATGGCCAAAAACATTTGTTTCTTAAACAGTTACTGCTGGAAGGTGCAATTTTTAAAGCATATGTGTGAATTCTTTTCCTGTTGACGTGACATTGTTGTAGTTGTATGGTGAGATTAATATATAATTGTACTTAGAAAAAAAATTATTCACAAACAATGAAAAACTATTTTGTTGTTTATATGGTTTTTATATGGTTCTGTATTACTTTATTATTTGTGATTTGGCTGCAAGTTAGTTTTTACTATAATTTTCAGTGTTAAAGTATGTGTACTTTCAGATTTCCTCTCAGTGTTGCATCCCATGTATTTATATGCAGTGATCGCTTTTTTGTTAACGTATGTCATACATTTGTTGTAAAAAATGCTCTAGAAACTTTTATTTTAATGTCTCTGACTCATTCACTGTTGCTATATGTTTATTTCACTATTTCTCCAATAGACGACATTGTTAAAAAAATTATTTTGCTGTTTTTGCCAGAAAAACTTACTTTCGTTTCAAAATCTGAAAGAATCTATGTAAATTGTTTTTAATAGATTTTCTTGCAAACAAATAATTATAAATAAAACAAGTAAAATGCCAAAGCCATTTTTGGGACAAGACTATGTCTGTGACTAGACTGCACACTGTTTTCTAAGGAAAACAGAAAAATGAGCAATAACCAATGAGGAAAAGCCAGCACCAGTACTCAGGGTCCTGGCATAATTATGGCAGGCTCCATTGGTTATGACAGGTTGTATTGTCACAGATCAGTTTGTAAGGAACCAAGTCTGAGCTTTATTTTTATTTTACTTTTATTTTGCTTTCATTATATTTTGTTTGGGGCTTATGTTTAGTTAAGACAAAGGTTTCCTCACCATTCACCTTAGTAACTTAAAAATAGAAGAAAAACCAACTCACCGACAAAAGAAAAGCGCCGTAGAAAAACTCGCGCACACTTGCGCTTCCCGAGCGGAAAAAAGTAAGTCCGCACCGACGAAAAGGGAGGGGAGACCCCACAACCCAGTTAGGAATCGCTAAACCTTAAAAAAATAAAGCATCCCGATAATTGTTAAAAAGAATAATGTAAAAGGTTAGCGAAGTATTGTCGGAAAATAATCTGCCAGATAAACAAGAAAAATTTAATGTTACAGATAAGTATGTAAATGAGGAGAGTGATCTCATTCAGAATTGTGACGTCACCTCACACTATAAAGCCTCTAACTCAAGTGAAAACGAACGAGGTGAATTCCTGATAGCAACGAGCTTTGGTGAGCTTCGTAGCAGTGAACGAGAGAGGTGTCCGATAGGATTTTGAATTTATTCGATTTGTGGATCGACGATTATAGAAAGTCTTGAGAGTTTGAGGAAATAGGTTCCTAGTATATTGAGGTGACGATTAGGATCTTTAATTTATAAGAATTATTGTTTATAAGTTAATTCTTTGATTTTGTCGAATTCCAAAGGGGAATAGAATTAAGTTAGAAATAGATTGATTTGAGTTTGTCGGTTTGATTCTTGTTGAATTTCATTGAATAAATTATTGTTTGATTTTTACTAAATACTGTATATAGTTTATTACTAGAAGTTTAATTAAATATTTGATTTTGTTATTGACAAACTTTGTCATTATTTAATTCGGTGCACGCTTAAAGTCCAGGCCTGGCACACTAACGCGAATCCGCGTAAAGTACCCGTTAGGGAACGGCTATTTCCGGCACACAGTAGTGTCAATAATCGTTGGAAGTCGGAAAAATAATATAGTACTTTACAAGTTCTTGGCTATGGTAAGTGAAATCATTTCAATGCTCACGGCAGGTCTTGCTCTCACTTTCCAATCTTCTTTGATATCAGTGGTTTTGAGCCTGATAGTTCAAACTTTGCCGGCCTCGGCCACGACACATTTTCAGTGAAATTAACCTATCCAATGTCGAAATTTCTCTCCGTTGCATGCCGTCCTGGGTTGAATTTTTGTTGATGCCAAACGAAAATTTCCCATTTTTGAAAAAAATAATTGTGGCGATTGTGTCATCCGAAATTTTTTTTTATTTTGCAGAAACCAAATAAATATATTAATAAATGTAAAAAGAAAAAAAATTATATTTCGGAAGTTAGTTTTAATATAAAATTATAACGACTAGCACCATCTAGTTTCAAAAACATTCTGATGCTGAAACGAGATATCTTGGGTCAAACAGTCAAGATCAGTATGTCGTGACCAGAGATATGTCAGGACTAACATGGGACAGGTAAATGGGTTTTTACAAAAATTTATTTGTCAAAATTTGATTTTGCATGTTCGCATTTCCAACTTCCCAATGAGCAATGCATGCACAAATCTCACACTAGTGCCTGTTTATAGAAAGATGTCATTTTGTATTTTATTTTGACTCAGTTCTCAGTCCCCTGACTACCTACAAGTCTGATTTTTTTTATGTGCACATGATTTTGACACCAAATACTCTGTGCCAAATTGCAACTCTGACATATACTCCTTCATACCTCTAAGGTGTGCAGCCATAACAGCACTGTGATTTTTACTGGCTTATCGAACAAACAAATACGAATGGACCCTAAACCATCACTGACTGATTGCCCCTGGAAGTCAGCTTGTTACAGAAACACAGCTTCCCTATTATCAAATGTCATGGCACACCACTGTGATGCATATTATGACAAGATTGTCATATTAAATATATGTAGACTAATTTAAAATAATATAAATTACTAGCTGCAAGGACCCACTTCGCTGGGTTTTTATTTGTTCGTACATTTGTATGTAATATAGTTTTTTTTTTATATATAAAAGACTGTTTTTCTAAGTAATCTAGAATCTAGCTGCAAGGACCCGCTTCGCTGGGCAAAAAGTAACGATAGTGAAGATTAAGATAATTACATTATAGCCAATCTTACCCGTTTTCACAGAATGCAAGAATTAGGTCCCCTGTTTCCAGACTAATTACAGAATTTTTACGTCCAGTCAAACGAACTATTTTCAATTTGATCAATTTTCTGGAACGTTTACAATCGTTCTATAATCAAACCAATTCGAATACGAATTCGAAAATTTTTAAAATCGAAATAGAAAATCTTCCACTTTCAAACCCAGATCTCCCGCACCCTTATAGCTATTGAGACGCAACCACCATAGTGCACGAATGGAGACTTGGGGCTACTACCACATACATACATCATTCATGTGCGATGTGTAGTTTTGGCTGAAAAGTGAAATATAATTTATATATATATAAATTATAAATAAAATTATTTTATTTTTAGAAAAAAACACGTAGGAGCTAATTTTTTGCATATTTTTCATAAAAATTAACACTTTATGAATAAGTCAACTGGGGGGGGGGAAATTAGACTGAGAAGGAGTTATGAAGTAAACATGACATACAGATCAGAAATTAATTTCATAACTTGAAGTTATCACTGTAGATAATATTTTTTTCTCTTGGTAATTTTTTCTTGCAGCATCCCTAATTCTTTATCAATGTTGAGTTATTGAATTTTTCACTCTCTTAAGTAATATGTACAAGTATTATTATATTACTGCTCAGCACTATTTCATTGGATTTTGAAGTGTTGTTGCAGCACCCTGGTTGAAAATCACTGCTCGAGACCATAGCATTCATGTTTTGTATGGATTTTAATTTTCTTGAATATTTTTTTAATCTCATTGATTAATTTTGGGTGTTCTGTTGTTTTTAGTGTGTTGTGTCAGCCTACCTGATTGTTGTCAAATGCCTTTTATTATAATAGTTCTATTCTATGTCAGGCACTCTGATTTGTGTGCATTTGATTGTGTTTGTTTGTGATTATACTTTAAGACCATGGTACATTACCACAGTGACCACAGTAGAATAAACTAATATATGTATGTCTGACATTTTTGATCTGGTTGAATGTACTATATTTTGGTAATATATAAGCAGGGTATAGCTTTCTCAAATTCTTTTGATGTGTGTTTATTTTAAATATTCATGGTCTCTATGTGAAGTTTACACCCGTATGTATTTAATGAAGTGTGAAATAAGTGGGATAATAAATTTTTTATTTTTAGTATTTTATATTAACTATAACTAAACCATACCGTTCCAACTGAATCTTCAAATTTTCCATTTCTGCTAAACGTCCTGAAAGATCTACAACTTCTTGTCTCAAAATACTTTGTTGCTCTTTTAATTTACTTACAATTTGTTCATGATCTAATCTCTCTTTTTCCAAAATATTAATCTAGTTAAAATATAATAATTAAATTGTATTTTAATATTTTAAATAAAATAAATAATTTATTTAAAACTAAATTTTGATTTTATAAATATAACAAATGTTATCTTTCAACATTATTTATCCTATAAGTCAGAGATTCTCAACCAATGGTATGCATACCCCTAGGGGTATGCGATAGGTTGTTTAGGGGTACAGAAAAAACTTAATTATTATGGCAGAAAAAATAATATATTATACAGTAATACCCGGAGTTACGCGATTTTCAAATCTCATCGATTCGTCTTTTGTTTGAGCGCCACGCAACCCTTGATTACTTACTCCCCCCACACTATTGTTCAGCTTACATGTTTGGATGTGTCACGCGGAATCCACACATAGCTACAATTTATTTTGTGTTATTTATTTCTGTGTTTGTTATATCTACGGAGACTTGACAGACTCTACTATGTCATTCAAACGAAGTAGAACTAATTCTTCTGCATCAAACAAGAAAAGAAAAACTTTATCTTTGAAATGTAAAGTTAACATTGGGTATGTTCGTAAAGTCGAATCAGTTAAACGAGAATGACGTCATCGTTATTCCTATTTTGTTAGACTTTTCGAACGATTCGTTACTAACACATTTAACTCGTTTGACTACGAATGTACCCATTTTTAAAGACTTCGATACAAAAATGAAAATTTGTGAATTGGCAAAGAAGTTTGATCTACCGGAATTGTCAGTCAGAACAATTATAAAAGGCAAAGAAAAAATTCTCGAAGCTGTGAAAAATGCTCAATCTTTAAATTCAAGCATCATTCGTAAACGTCACAGTATTATCGCTGAGATGGAAACAATGTTAAAATTATGGCGTAATAATCAAGTAAATGTGAAAAATTGTGTAAAATAATATAGGCCTAATTTGTTATACATATGTATTATCTACGATTTTATTAAACATTTTTTTCTAAATTATTGTTTTCTTTAGTTTCCGGCCCCAATTAAAAATTATTTGTATGTATTTATATGCGAAATTATACCCCGACTTATGCGAATTCGACTTACACGGTTACCGCTCGGTCCCACCTATCATGTAAGTTCGGGGTATTACTGTATATCACAAATTAATAGTATTGTGAAAATTTGGACTCCCGTGTAAATGTTGACATGTCGGTAAATTTTTATTTTTATCATTATTTCCTTTTTTTCCTCCAGTTGTGTTAAAGTTAGACCTTTTGACCTATAAGTGTACTGCGTCACTTCAAAAGGTGACTTAAACATCTCTGGAAGTTCTCCCCTCACAACAGGGGATTATTCAGTGCCACCTTTATTACAATGTACAAATCAGTAGCCAATTGACAAGAATCTCCACCTGTTACTTGATAGAACATAACAAAATGACTCACAATTATCACCCAGGTGGCCATGCAGATGTTCTGAACTTAACTACCTGCAGCAATTAATTTAAGAAGTTTAACAGCTGGTGTGTCACTTTCCTATCATAAGTAACAAGGTCCGGTCTCGCTTGTCTAAAGGATGAGTTCTTTTGAGCAGAAGGGTTTTAGTTAAGGATCGCTAGATCCTTATTTCACGTCAGGATCTGACACCAATATATCAATTTCTTAGCGGATAGATATGCATTTAATTTGAGGAGGAATTATCACGAGCGATCTCGTGGAGAACTTCGGGTTCAGTTTAGAGATGATAATGTCGGAAGAAACGCACACCAATCCAAGTTCATTAACAATATACCCGTTTATTGTTGAACATTTTTACATATATAATTAAATAAGGGAATCGAGGTTACAGTTCCCTCTTGGGATTTTCAATCTTAATTCATAGGTTTCGGGTTGATAGCAGACAAAATATATATTAGTTGCGACCCTAATCGCGAGTTGGAAATATTCGAGAGAGAGCTTACATACTCTCGCGAGTAGAATAAATACCTCTAGTTATAACATTGATGTCGAGTTGATCCGAGTTCTGGTTCTTCCCAAGTTCATAATTCAGTCCAAAATTCAAAGTCAAAGTTGTAATCAAAGTCTATTGAAGACGGTGGCGACAAGAGGCAGGTAATCCATGGGCACACTCACAGTATAGAAAAATAACTTTTCCCCCTTTGTGTCGTCATCTCACTTGTTTTTTATATGGGGGCTCTCTTTTCGAGATTTCCCCATGTACGTCACAGGTGATGATCTTCTTTGACCAATAGTGTGCGAAGTGACAAAATTATGACACAACAGTTAACTCATCTTCTACAAGGAAGTATCCTCGTGGGAACAGAGTTTTATGAGCAATTTTTATGAGAAAATTTGTTGGTTGTTTTTCTCTTTCTGAGTTAACCCTAACTTTTATAAAATTGTTTTGGTTCTGAAGCAAAAACAGTAGATGAAAATGAATAAAAATATTCGAATCTTAAATCCGGGCCCTCACAGTAGCTAAAACTCATTTAACTCATTTAATAATTTAACTCATTTAACTCATTATTTAACTCATTTAATAATTTAGTAGTACAGAATTGCATACAAAATTTATAAATTACAATGATACCATTAATTTTTTTTACTTAAATAATATTTTAGTAATTAAATGAAGTAAAACAACATACACTATTGTTTCTTAAATAATCAAAACTTTTGCATACCTTTACTGTAAGTTGATTGTTTTCTTCAATAGTTAATTTATGTTTCTTTTTTAATGCTTCTAATTCATGTCTGACCAATTGATAAACCTAAAATTTTATTTATCTCATTAAAAAAATTTTTAGTGAAACTATACTTATAAGATTAAAATTATAAAATTATGAATTATAATAGAAAATAGAAATTATAAAGAATAGAAAATAATTTTAAAATGAGACTATAATTTTAATAAAATTAATAAATATGCATTTTTGATAATTATATTGTTTTCATTATTGAAAACTATATATAGTTTCAGTAATAAAATTATTCATGTTTATTGAATTTACTGAAAATTTCTGAAAATTAATGAGCAATTATTTATTGTGGCATTGTCACATTGCCAGACTACAATTTTTAATCGTATTCTTAATTTATTTTATTAATTTAATTTAAAATACTGTATATGTTCTCTATCTCAAATTAGTAGTGTCTTGCCCCTGTACATCATACTTTTCCTGAAAACAACATTTGTGCTAGTCATCTACATAACTCCATTACGGGGAAAATTTTTGAATTGAAATCATATATAGTTAATTGGGGCTTCTTGCTCCTAAGCTTGCCATATCGTGTCTTGATTTTCATCTATCTAACACCGTTCTTGAGATTAAGAACAGACAACAGACGGGATGACAATGGAAATTAATAGATGTATAACTTTTTCAAATTGCAACCCAATTACAGTAAAATATAATATGATTTTATAAGTATTATTATTTAATGTTTTTTTTTTTCTCAAAATAGATTTTTTTTCTTTCTTTCTTATATATTTTAAAAATACAAAATAAATCATTAATAGATATTTTTATAATTTTACCAGATCAGGACTTTTTATATATATATATAAAATTATATATATATATATATATAAATTATATACATTTATATATAATTTTTATATAAACTTTATCTGTTAGACAATGAATATATCAATAAATTTGATATTTGGTTAACTGTAACACTGATTATATTCTATCAGAAAGACAATGAATATAGATATTCTATCTATAACAGGTAAAGTTTATATAAAAATTGCACAAGAGAAGAGATTATTTTTATTATAATTTTTTAAATTACTGAAGTAGATTTCAGATAAAATGCAAACCCAAAATATATCTTTCTTACAATCCTTGTGTGATTATCAGTTTAACATATACTCAATAGCTTGTAAAACTTAAAGTTGGTAAATTTTCATTGGTATAAAAGTAGGGTTGTAGTAAGTTTAAATTAAAACTTTTTAAGTGAGGTAACATTGTGGTAAAAATTGATGGATATCTAGTATTAGATAGGCAGTAGCTACTCTGAAAAGTAAGTGATTAATTCTACACTAAGTTTATTGAATTATCAATTATTGAACAACTTTTTATTATTCACTGAACAAATTGTATTTTCTTATATCTGAATTTAAAAAATATGGGTCAGGTTTAGTATTATTTTATAGGACTTTTTTATCATCAGTTAAATGCTGATCCAAACTCTGTTCTTATCCCAATTTTTAACAGTCAAATAATTTCATACCTAGAACAATAACAAACCTTACTTTTATTTCCACTTATATATATATGCATTTCAGATACCACTATATTGTAGTATCCTTCTTCAGTATAGATGGAAAGTTTATATCTCCAAGTAAAACAGACATATATGAGAGAAATGCAGAATTGTGTAAGAGGATGGATGCTACATTGTCTTTATTACTTAGAGATAAACTTTACATCTATACTAAAGAGATAGCACTGTTGTGGTATCTCTCTTCAGTATGTATGGAATGACAAAATGCATATACAGTCAAACCTCGGTTAACAAACTTAATTCATTCCTAAAAGTTGTTCAGAAACCAATTTGTTCTCAAACCAAACCAAATTTTCCCATATGAAACAATGTAAAATGGATTAATCCAAAACAAAGCTTTATCTTTTTACCAGCATTTCATGCATAAAAATTCCTACAAATGCAATATAATATAATATAGAATAGATATAGATAATATTATATATATGTACAGTGGAACCTTGCTTAACAAGCACCTTGCATAACAAGCAGAACAAAATTGTAAAAAGAGACTTGCTTAATGAGCAATGTTTTGCATAACAAGTAATGAAAAGAGGGAAATCCCAGATTGTGCATATGCTCCATCAGTCTGTGTTTAGCACTTGTTCTGCTAGCATCATAATGTCACTTGTGATCAAACATTTTTCTAAACTTGTTTATGCATAATATGTGTGAACACATCAACAACCATTACCCATTATATAATAAACATGTCAAACAATATGCCAAATTCTTGGACTATGTAAAGACTATAATTAAATATTAGAAATTAATTAATATGACTAGAGGTAGGCAGTTATGCTGCCATCTCATATTAAATTTAATGACCAATTCTAAATTAAATTTTAAAAATGTCTAAATTAAAAATTATTTACTTATAATTATTAAATTTAATACGAGATGGCAGCATAACTGCCTTTCCTCTAGTCAAATTATTTAATTTTTAATACTTAATTATAGCATTTATTGATACATAGCCCAAGAATTTGGCATATCATTTGGTATGTTTATCAGACATATTATCTGTGATTTTTATTGTTTTCTGCAAATCAAATTTGCATTCCAGGTTGGTTCATTCCGTGCTAGAAGAAAACCCAATGATGATTCACACTCCTTAACAATGTACTGTACATGGTGTCCACAAAGTGTGGGTACATAAGGATTAACACATACTTTTAAAACAAAATAATTTTATTTGATTCTAATATTAATAAATAACATTTTCAATATGATTTCCATCATTTTCAATAAATAATTTGATGCACCTTGCAAAATTCAGGTGAACTCGATTAAACACAAGTAAGATCCTGGAATGAATTATGCTCGTTAAACTAGGTTCTACTATATATATATATATATACGTGGGGAGACCCAAAAATAACTAGATTTTTTGTATAAAAACTTTATTTGTTAACTTTTTTACAAAATTTCTTCAGTTACCTTCAAAGTACTCTCCGTTAGATGCGATGTACTTGTGAAGTCTTTTTCCCCAGTGTTTGAAGCATCTCTGGAACTCTTCAACCTTGATATCGTCCAGTGCCCTTAGGGAAGCTGTTTTTACCGCCTCCACATCATCAAAATGCTTCCCTTTTAGATTTTTCTTCATTCTCAGAAACAGAAAAAAGTCGCACGGGGCTAGATCTGGTGAATACAGAGGATAGGGAACGACACACCATCCTCAAGAGGCCAAATAGTGGGTCACTCGTAATGCCGTGTGTACGGGGGCATTGTTGTGATGAAGGAACCAGTCACCTGATCACCAAAGTTCCGGGCATTTCCTTTGCACATCCTTTCGCAGACATCTTAACACTTTTTTGGCAGATTTTTTCAACGTTTTCATCGTTTTGAGATGTTGAAGGATGCCCAGAACTTCACAGGTGGAACAAAATAACAGTAAGAGAAACACAAGACTATGCTCAAATGTAAACCTACAAACTGATGCTGTTTGCACAGCTGTTTCGTGAAGGTCTCTACTAACCCCATGTAACGGGAGAACTCTCTACTACGTCCTGGCAGTATGCTCTCAGCTCAGTTTTTTTTGGGTCCCCCTCGTATATATATATAATATATATTAAAAGCAAAATATTCTGTCTGGATGAAATATAACCAAATCAATCAAGACCGACAACAAGTACTTTATCATACTTTCCAAAATATTATGTTTCGATTGCTTTAATTTTGATTTAAATTTTAATTTTATTTTAAATTTTAGTTTCAGTTTCAGTGTAAAAACCAGAGTTTTAATTATTATTTTATTGTTTTTAATTTTAATTAACAGGCTACCTAGTATTAATAAATATTATATTAAACATTATTATAATAATGTATAATATATTAATAAATTTTTGTTATTTAATTTGTGTTAAACATCTTTAGATACAAATTATTGTATTCATTTATATTATGCAAATGTCAATTTAATGTGGTTTTTATTAATTAATTAGATTTAAGTTGAATTGTGACGTGTACTGAAAACCAAAAGCACAGTGGGTGATCAGTTGATGAACATAATCTGTTCCAAGACCATGTTTGCTACCTGAATTGTTTGTTAACTGATTATCAATTTACCATAGATTTTTATAGGAATTTGATTTTGTTCTGGAGACCCCCAAAAAATAAAAAATTATATACTTTCTTACTATGTTTATTTATATGTAATAATAAAAATAATTACATACACAATCTTGCATTTTTTATCAGTCATGTTTTCTCCATTAGTGGGGATTAAAGAATCTGTCTAATGTCATTCGCTTTTCTCTCCTTTTCAGGATTTTTTGGAAGTAATTAATAACATTGTCATTGTAGAGATTCCCAAGCCTATTATTCCAAACCTGGTTTGGATGCTTTTCTAAGACCTTTGTTCTGACATTTTCCCACTTCTTCAAAAGATCTTTAATAGCAGATGTTGGCATTGGTCCTCTTTTGTCTTCTTTTTCAGAAGAAAACACATCTCACTGAGTTTCTTGTTCTTCATTTAACAGTTCTTGGAGTTCTGTAGTCAGATCAGTTTCGGGTTTTATTATGAGCTCTTCAATTTTCTTTATTTATCAGATTTGATTTTCATTACTCCTTTAGATGCTTGAATCTTTTTGATTATATCTTTCTTAGCTAATATTGTGCCTACTATAAACCTGTTCAAGCCATACTGCCTAGCAACATAAAACATCCTCTGCCCAGTTTCTACCTTGGCTATTACCTCTTGTTTGGGTTCTGTGGAGAGAACAATTCTTAAAACGCCACTCTTTTTAGGCTCCATAATATTATCAGTTTCTTTTTTAAATAAAAAGTTCAGAAAAGCACTTACAAAAATTCAGAGAACAGAAATCAACTAGCGCACGAAAAATTTATATAAATATGAGACCCGGATGAAATTCAAAATTTGGTGTTAAAACAATAACAAATATCCAATGGGATGGTTAAACTCTCACCTTTCAAAAATAAAAACCTATGGAAAACTTAATGAGTGCCTGCCTGACAGTCTCACAAAAACTATAAAAAAAATTCTTTGTCAGAAAAGTAAATGAAAGGCTAGAATTACAAGAGAAAGTTCAAAGTTCAGAGGAATACTATCCGATCAGTATTGAGTTCAGTGTCAATGTTGATGTCTCCCACACTCCAAAAGGATTCAAACTGTCACATGGAGACAAGGGAAGACCAATCAGGATTCACTATTTTACATTGCTTCTTCTTGTGTTTGTTCTGTGTTTCTTGTGAGGTGTTCATTATCCGAACATATGTTTGTTGTCTGAACATAAAAATCTTTTGTGAAATTGTTTGTTGTCCAATTTGTTCACAGTCAAATTGCTTGTTAACCAATCACCCACATGAACATTGGAATCTAATTTGAATAATAACATGGTTAGTGTTGTGACATTTAATGACATGAGGTGAATGTTAGCACTACTACTGAATCAGTAGTCCTGTCATTGATTGGTTGGGCACAGACTTTCTTCTTGACCAAGATACTTGGCAGAGCCAAGTAGCTTGTTCAAGAAGAAAGTCTATGTCCAACCAATAACAATAACTTTGTTTTTGAACAAGCTACTTGGCTCTGCCAAGTAGCATGTCCAAAAACAAAGTTATTGTAAGGCAACTGGAGCAAATCTGGCATTCAGAATTTTGTTCATAAACTGAACTGTTTGTAAACCTTGAGACATTCGTAACCTGAGGTTTGACTGTATACAAGTGTAAATAAAAAGATGTTTACTAACAAGTAAGATCTGTTATTGTCCTTTCCATATATATCACCTTATTCCAAAATGGCTGTTACTCTCCATTTTATTTGAGTTCTATCTGAAGTAGCATCAGTCCACCTCATATAATTAAAGTTCTAGTGTATTTTCTTGAATAATGATCATGATGAACATATTTTACCAAATATTTGATATTTTAATTTTTTGAAAAGTTTCCAAACTATTAAATTTAACATTAATTTATTTTAAATTTTACAAGTTTTATTTGACAACAACTCATTATCAAATATAATTCTGAAATTTAAATTTCACATACTTATTATTTTTGAATAATTCACTTTTAGATTTTTAAGAATACTTTAATCACAAAACAGAACATAATTTTTATACCTCCTCTTGATCAGATCTTTCTTGCTTTTGAACTTCTAATTCACTAAGTTTTTCCCGAAGTTGGTGATCTAAATTCACTGACTTGATTTCTTCAGCTTCTTGATAACGTCTAATCATTTCCTGACAATCTTTACGTACTTGTTCTGCTTCTTCTCTTGTCTGTTGTAATCTTAAAAGTGTATGTTCCAATTTAGTCTGCGTTTCCTAAAACAAACAAAAAATAATTTCCATATTTTATCTAGTGTATCTTATAATTTAAAAATTTTAATTCAAACTTTTATCTAAGATCAGTTTGATGTGTTTATACTGCATGCATTTATCTTATATAAAGTAATTATAATATAAATTTTATAATATACACAGTAATTCAACAACAATCAGTATGGTCTTACATTAAAACTCAATGAGGAAAGCAATAGTAAGGCCCACTTCCTAGATCATATTCAGTTCATGGATGGCCACACATTAATGTATACCACATACTTAATCAATATCCACTTTCATATCATCAGCAATCTAAAGATGACTATATTTATAAATGGTAGCATTTATGATAAAAAAGGACCTATATACATTGCTCTAACATCAAGGAGTTACTATGCAAGAGTTAGAATATATAAAATAGATAGGTATTAATTTACAACTGTAACAATGTGCTATTGCTATGTCAGCATGTACCATAGAAGAGGATGTTAAAATACCATGTAGTTGGACCATAGGAATGCAACCATAAACAAAATTAAGAAATCGTAAATGCACAGTAGTTGACTTCAACCCCAGACAGAGTACAACTTACAGGGACATAGCTAAACAATTAAATGCAGGTTTAGCATATAAATAATCCAACCATATAAACTACTCACCAATGATAAGGATAAGATGGAAGACAGCAAAACTCCTAAGGTATATCCCATACCTCTTTAAGACAGCAGATTCAATAGAAATCTGACATATATAGGCTCAACAAATAGATCCTAGATGAAAAGGCTGAAGGAACACTACTATAAAATGAATAAAAACATAGTACAGCTCCAGCACAATATGCAAGCGAACAAGGTATTGCCACAGTACACACAGGAAAATCTTTTAAAACACACATTCGATAACTACAAACTAATGACAATGGAGGTGTTTGAGATATTTACCACAACAGTTAAAAGGAGGCTGCATTAATAGTAAAGAATTCATATCCATGGCATGGTAATCAATATTACGAGGGTCATTCAAGGTTAAAGGAGACTTTTAGGCCTATAATTTTGAAAAGTAATTGTAGCATGGTAAAACCTGAAGAGGGAGTAGCATTATCCATACCAAGATTTTGGTAGCAATCATGACATATTTTGTGCATGCGTAGCAGTTTTAGCAATCATGGTGGAAGGTAATGTGTTTGCAATAATGGAACAGTGGTGCATAATCAATATCTTGTGAAGGAAAAGATTAAACCAGCTGAAATTTTGAGAAGATTGAGTGCACAGCATGGGAAACAAATGCTATTGCAGGCAAGAGTGTATGAATGGTGTTGACAATTTGGCAAAGGACGAGAGCTGGTGACAAATGAAGGACATGAACATGTTCATCCAACTGCAGTAATGCCAGTGAATATCACATAAGTTGAGCAAGTCATCCTGGAGAACCAGCAAGTGAGACACATTGCAGATGAAGTGTCCATCAGTGTCGGTAGTGTTGAGAAAATCATCCACAAGCACTTAACCGTTCTGCAAGATGGGTACCCTGACAGCTGACACGTGATCAGAAGTGGGTACGCAAGGAGACATGTGAGCAGCTTCTGAATCGGTATCATATCAAAGGCAATTAGCTCACAGCAGTTATCATTTATTTGGGCACCTTAAAGAGCACCTAGAAGGAATGAAATTCCAGACAGATGATGAACTGCAGCATCACCTGTGCTGTGCTGGCTATGACATCAGCCCACTTCTTTCTATGAGAAAGTATCAGGAATCTACCCCACTGCTGGGAACAGTGTCTACATACAGATGGAGAGTATTTCAAAAAATTGACATAGTTTATACATGTTTTCAACACTCCTTTTGGTCTGTAGAAATAAGTCTCATTTAACCTTGAACGACCCTTGTAGATAACCCCTTAAAAACAAGTGGCAACCAATAATACATGTAATAATATAACTTTAAATTTTGCAAGATATTTTTATTTTTTGCCTAGTTTATTATGTTATTTATTATAAGCATTTTTGAATATATTTGTTCTTATTTATTCATTTGTTTTGTTGACACTGTAATAATTATTTATAAATGTACAATATATAAGATATTAGTTGTTTATTAAACAGTTACTGCTGGAAAGAGCAAGGAAGGTGTGATTTTTCTATATTACATGTTAATTCCAGCTTACAAATTCAATGATTATAAATTTTATAAAAAGCAATTAACTAACAATAATTTAATTACTAACTTATTAAATTTTCTTCAGTGATATTAGTTAGTGATTTATTCATAAACAATTTTAATATTAATCTATGTTCTTTAAATTTTATAAATTTTTCAGAATTATTATTATTATTGTGTTGGGTTTAGTGGGTAATACTCGGTTTAAACCGGTGGCTGCGTACTATGCCGGACCAGAGTCAAGGCATAGCAACCAAAACAAATTAAATAAGTGTGTCAGTATCAGTGTCTGTATTAAGAAATTTCCTAACAATATGGCATGTATTCAATATAGTGGCCTTCTGTAGTGTTATGTATGTATTTCTACTCAATTGTAATGTTCCCAGGCTTTTGTGTAGCGTGTGTGGTATCACACCTGTACAGGAGAGAACAACAGGTACAATAAGCACCCTATCCATCCTCCACAGATGCCTTATTTCCTGGGC